AAATTGGGCCTTTTATAAACGCATTTCATGCAATTCAATGTAATTCTACATGACTGGAGACTTTAGCAGAATCTTTTTTAATACCGCACAAATTATTGAAATGGCAGGCTACTTTGATACCGACAAACTGAGAATCTGAGATCAATAAAAATGACCTTGTCTTGAATCCATCAATAGCCTAGGCCTAGGTGTGTGGAGACACATATTTTAGGCTACAATATGAGGAGGACATTATAGTCCTAAAAATGCTTTCCAGTTTCACTGACTAACCCAAAGATGCGCAGCTCACTCGCTGGTGATGGCTAATGCGCTCCTGCCAAAAGCTTCTCATACAGCCACGGCTACCCGTTGGTCTCAAACATAGGTTACAATGTTGTGCAAACCATAAACCCGGGCCGGCCCAACCCGAATCAAATCTTAGAATATTAGGCCCGGCTGAAAGTCTACTTTCACATTACGTTTTATTTGTGGGGGTAGCAGAATTAACAAAGAGGCAACTCGAATGAACTTTGATTGCTTTTATTTAAAAATTACATTGCAAAAAGTGAAAATTATCTTTCATGCCAAGAGACGTACCGGATCCGGCCAAATAGGTTCCGCAACAAAACAGTCCAAAACAGAGAGGTGCCAGATCCTGTTCCGGCAGGATCCGGCTCAAATTAAGCACTGACGCTGCCTGCTGACCAACAAGATCGAGAAGATCCAGGGTCTAGCACCAACAGCACAAGGGTAACATAACAACAAGCACCTGGACCTCCATTACCACAGCCACTAGCACCTGATGACCTGTTGGATCTAACCAAAACTGAACCAGTGGAAGCAGAGTTTATTGATTCTTGCAAAGTCAAATCGCAACCACAGCCAGCAACAACAAATGGACCCCACTTAGTATTCTTCAAAGATATGGCAGGCCTTTGTCAGAAATGCCGACTGTGCTGTTGGCACTGAAACATGGATTTGGATTAACAGCAATGTACGAAAATTCCTTCAATGCCGAAGAACGTATTCAGTGAACACAGACAGACTCAGCATGTTACAGCTTGTCCAGCTGGCATTTGAGAGGGACCTGACAAGTAAATTTGGCCAGGAAGGAGAATGTAATCAAACTTCTCATGAGGTTCAACACAGCATGGAGGAGGCTGCAACTCGTCTAAATGGTAAGCTACAATCTTTATGTCCCTGGCACCGTGCCAGAATGATTAATTAATTGGTTCTCTCTCATGTAAGCCTACTGGTTGTTTGGCAGATTTTTGAACAATGTATAGTTTAGGCCTTTGCTTTTTACTTCAATGCATCTTTTAGATTTATTTCTGATTCTTTATGTCATTGATTGCTTTTATGGGTCTAATTGCTATTGATAGATATAAAGCTTTGTGTTATTTGAAGGGTAAGGGACAATGTAGCCTATTGGTTGTGCTCTGAGTTGACTCTGAAATGGGAAGTGCATCTTATGTTATCCTTTCATCGCGCTGTCTGGCGGTAGCCTTCTGTCCATAGTCCTGAATCTCTGGTTAAGGTGTGTGCTGTTTTAATGAGCGCATCTTGGGCTACCAGCCTTCGTGGGGCTTCTCTTCAACATTGCGTGCTTTCTTGTGTGCAAAATTACAGTTGTTGTGTTAATGGATGCATTTCAGATAGGCCTACATTTTTGTAAATGTTTTATGTAGGAGCAATACCGTGTGTAGGCAAACTTTCACTCTTATCATTAATTTGCATTACACAGTCATTGTGTGATAGGCTGCTGTAAAAGTGATGTCAATACGATGAAAATGACACAGCCTACTTTTTCGCCCCCTCCCTGCTCTCTTGCTATAGCGTGTGTGAGTTGCTCTCAGAATGGGCATTTACTCTTATTCGAAGCAGATTCAAATTAGCTACTGCCATGTAGGACATTTCACGTCAGCTATGACTATAGAATATGCACTTAGTTTGATTTAGTTTGCCTTTCTGAAACTCTCCAACACAGAAAATATTGCGCACCTGGAGAAGTAGCGGCTTGGTTATGCTCATTGCATAGTGTCACAAATTCGACAGAAATGTAGCCTATAGTTTTAATTATAGATGTTTAAGCTATGAAGCCTGTAAGAATCTTTGATAAGCTAGTGGTGCTCATCCTGTCGAGCTGATCTGTGCATGTTGGTAGGTGCAAATTATATGTAGGCCTACTGCAGCTACCGCTGCATTTCTGATACACATGATGTAGTGGGGCGCATATCTTGTGTTATTATATAAAGCCATGGTTGTTGATGTGCACGGCTACATTTCAGATACATAGGAAAAAAACATTAGAACAGCAGTGGGACCAATCTACCTTGTGTTATTAGGGCTCTAAAGCAATACTAGTTGTGCCCCCCCCCCCCCCCCCCCATGGATTTAAAATGCCCCCTCAGGCATGTCATCCTGGAGCCGGGCCTTCTCTCTCTCTCACACACACACACACACACACACACACACACACACACACACACACACACACACACACACACACACACACACACACACACACACACATACACACACACACACACACACACAGCTTGATAGGTTCTTTTTTTGTTTTTTTTGTATTTCATTAAATAAATAAAAAAGATTGTAAAACAACTACATTTTACTTGGCCTACAGTGCCTTCAGAAAGTAATCATGTTTGTTGCGTTACAGCCTGAATTCAAAATTGATGAAATAGATCACACAATACCCCATAATGACAAGTGAAAACATGTTTCTTTCAAAATGTATTGAAAATGAAATACAGAAATATCTCATTTACTGTATTTACTATATACAGTTGAAGTCTGTATGAAAAAAAAAATGTATGCACTCACTAACTGTAAGTTGTTCTGGATAAGAGCGTCTCCTAAATGACTAAAATGTAAAATGTAAATGTAAAGTTGGAAGTTTACATACACTTAGGTCATTAAAACTCGTTTTTCAACCACTCCACACATTTCTTGTTAACAAACTATAGTTTTGGCAAGTCGGTTAGGACATCTACTTGGTGCATGACACAAGTAATTTTTCCAACAATTGTTTAAAGACAGATTGTTTCACTTATAATTCACTGTATCACAATTCCAGTGGGTCAGAAGTTTACATAAACTAAGTTGACTGTGCCTTTGAACAGCTTGGGAAATTCCAGAAAATGATGTCATGGCTTTAGAAGCTTCTGATACGCTAATTGACATCATTTGAGTCAATTGGAGGTGTACATCTATGGATGTATTTCAAGGCCTAACTTCAAACTCAGTGCCTCTTTGTTTGACATCATGGTAAAATCAAAAGAAATCAGCCAAGACCTCAGAAAAATAATTGTAGACACCCACAAGTATGGTTCATCCTTGGGAGAAATTTACAAATGCCTGAAGGTACCACGTTCATCTGCACAAACAATAGTACGCAAGTATAAACACCATGGGACTACGCAGCCGTCATACCACTCAGGAAGGAGACGCGTTCTGTCTCCTAGAGATGAACGTATTTGGTGCGAAAAGTGCAAATCAATCCCAGATCAACAGCAAAGGACCCTGTGAAGATGCTGGAGGAAACAGGTACAAAAGTATCTATATCCACAGTAAAACGAGTCCTATATCGACATAACTTGAAAGGCCGCTCAGCAAGGAAGAACCACTGCTCCAAAACCGCCATAAAGAAGCCAGACTACGGTTTGCAACTGCACATGGGGACAAAGATCATACTTTTTGGAGAAATGTCCTCTGGTCTGATGAAACAGAAGTAGAACTGTTTGGCATAATGACCATTGTTATGTTTGAAGAAAATAGGGGGTTGCTTGCAAGCCGAAGAACACCATCCCAACCGTGAAGCACGGGGGTGGCAGCATCATGCTGTGGGGGTGCTTTACTGCAGGAGGGAGTGGTGCACTTCACAAAATAGATGGCATCATGAGGAAGGAAAATTATGTGGATATATTGAAGCAACATCTCAAGACATCAGTCAGGAAGTTAAAGCTTGGTCGCAAATGGGCCTTCCAAATGGACAATGACCCCAAGCATACTTCCAAAGTTGTGGCAAATTGGCTTAAGGACAACAAAGTCAAGGTATTGGAGTGGTCATCACAAAGCCCTGACCTCAAACCTATAGAAAATGTGTGGGCAGAACTGAAAAAGCGTGTGCGAGCAAGGAGGCCTACAAACCTGACTCAGTTACACCAGCTCTGTCAAGAGGAATAGGCCAAAATTCACCCAACGTATTGTGGGAAGCTTGTGGAAGGCTACCCGAAACGTTTGACCCAAGTTAAACAATTTAAAGGCAATGCTACCAAATACTAATTGAGTGTATGTAAACTTCTGACCCACTGGGAATGTGATGAAAGAAATAAAAGCTGATATAAATAATTATCTCTACTATTATTCTGACAATTCACAATCTTAAAATAAATTGGTGATCCTAACTGACCTAAAACAGGGAAGTTTTACTAGGATTAAATGTCAGGAATTGTGAAAAACTGAGTTTAAATGTATTTGGTTAAGGTGTATGTAAACTTCCGACTTCAACTGTATATACAAAAGTATGTGGACACCCCTTGGTGGCAAAAATAACTATTGCAAATAATCAGAGAAAAACAACTCCAATGTAAATTCTGATGATACAACTTGGATGAATAAATCTACCCCAACATACTGTTTCTTTCACCATCAGGCTTTGATAAAAATGTGAATATTAATTGGTAGGAGTTCATAATGTCCACATAAGATCATTTCTGGATAAATACAAACAATGCCTTTCACTGGTGGACAGAGGGGTATAATACCAAGCAGGATCAATGAGTTAGCCAGCTAACATGCCTAAATATACGTTTTATTCTTTTGACAGATAAGCTTGAAATGGGCGTGGTCTAATTGACTCAAAAACCAAAAACACATATCTACGTTTAGATTTCTTATTGAACCAGAAAATCTGGTTGTCTATCAAAGTTAGCTGGCTAACTCATTGATCCTGCTTTGTGGTATACCCCTCTGGCCAGTATTAAAAACAGAACACAGGGTAGACTTAATTGCATTAATTTAATTTGTCAATGAAGAAAACATTGTTACAATCAGAAATGCATCTGTGATACTGATATTTGTGACATGACAAGACCAATCTGTATAGCCATGAATGATGCATCAGGGAGCCTGTGCTCAGTGAGAGCTACCTCAGACGGAGGGCAGGCTGGGCAAGATGTTAGACCACCAGTTCACAAAGCGCACCCTCATCTTCTCATGGACGTAGTTCCTGTTCATGTCAGCATTGATCTCCAGGTATTTTTGCCCAGAGGTGGTGTATGCAGGCCAGGTCACAGGCACATTAGACTCCCCCTTGTTGGGGTCTCTGTGGCGGGAAAGGGGTTGATGGTAAGAAAAACATAATGGTCAGAACATTAGATTTATTATAGTTTTCGTGAGGATAACATCACTAATACAGTAATCACACCCAATGGGGGAAATACAGTGGGGGAAAAAATTATTTAGTCAGCCACCAATTGTGCATGTTCTCCCACTTAAAAAAATGAGAGAGGCCTGTAATTTTCATCATAGGTACACGTCAACTATGACAGACAAAATTAGAAAAAAAAATCCAGAAAATCACATTGTAGGATTTGTAATGAATTTATTTGCAAATTATGGTGGAAAATAACTATTTGGTCAATAACAAAAGTTTCTCAATACTTTGTTATATACCATTTGTTGGCAATGACACAGGTCAAACATTTTCTGTAAGTCTTCACAAGGTTTTCACACACTGTTGCTGGTATTTTGGCCCATTCCTCCATGCAGATCTCCTCTAGAGCAGTGATGTTTTGGGGCTATCGCTGGGCAACACAGACTTTCAACTCCCTCCAAAGATTTTCTATGGGGTTGAGATCTGGAGACTGGCTAGGCCACTCCAGGACCTTGAAATGCTTCTTACGAAGCCACTCCTTCGTTGCCCGGGCGGTGTGTTTGGGATCATTGTCATGCTGAAAGACCCAGCCACGTTTCATCTTCAATGCCCTTGCTGATGGAACGAGGTTTTCACTCAATTTTTATTTTTTTATTTTTTTAAATTCAATAAAATAAACTGCAGTTCCAATTGCGTCCACTGGATGGCGCAATAGCAATTGTGTTAAGCAAGCAAACTGTTTATATCGGGGCAGGTCAAGCACGTGCAGCCAATGAGCTACTTTGTTTTGCCCGCGATATTTATTACGGCTTCTACTTTTAACATTATGTGCTTTGGCACCCTCATTGCCCCAATATGTCTCTGTCAAAAAAGAGAAAAGTGGACACAGAGTGCAGAGTGTTCCAAGAAAAATGGTCATCCTATTTAATCACGGAATTGAATGGGAAAGCTGTATGTTTGGTGTGTTCAGAGCATGTTGCAGTGCTGAAAGAATATAACCTTCGTCGCCACTATGTGAGTCTTCATGCCGACAAATATGACAACTTTCAAGGACAGCGGAGATGAGAGAAGGTGAATGAACTGTTGGCGGGTCTGAAGAAACAGCAGTCTGTGTTTACTCACAGCCGAGACATCAGTGACGCTGCAGTGAAAGCTAGCTACCTCATAGCTAATGAAATCGCAGTGGCTTCAAAACAATTTAGTGAGGGTGAATTTGTAAAAACATGCATGATGAAGGCAGCGGAGATTGTGTGCCCTGAAAAGCGGCAGGCTTTTGCAAATATCAGCCTGACAAGAAACACAGTTGCAGACAGGATTTCCGATCTTTCAGTGGATTTGGACAGCCAGTTGAAGCAAAAAGTAAAGTCATTTATTGCGTTTTCGGTTGCAATTGATGAAAGCACGGACATTACAGATGTTGCACAACTGGCCATTTTTTCATCCGCGGAGTTGATGACACATTGACCGTCACCGAGGAGTTCGTGGAGTTGGTGCCGATGACAGATACAACGACAGCAGCTGATATTTTTACTGCACTCGTCGGCGCGCTGGACAGGGTCGGAGTGGACTGGTCCCGCGCTGTCAGCCTGGCTACAGATGGTGCGCCCTCAATGATCGGGAAAAAAGCAGGCGTTGTGACAAAGTTCAGAGAGAAAGTGCAATCTGCAAATGGAGGACGTGATTTTTTGACTTTTCACTGTATTTTGCACCAGGAGGCTTTGTGTTGCAAGTCATTAAAGATGGATAACGTCATGAAGGTGGTCATCCAAACTGTTAATTTCATCCGATCCAGAAGCCTGAATCACCGTCAGTTTGACAGCCTTCTCAGAGAGAAAGACCACATCTATGGCCTGCCATACCACACTGAGGTAAGATGGTTAAGCCGAGGTGCTGTGCTGAGGCATTTCTTTGATTTACGAGAAGAAATTGAACAGTTCATGGAAGAAAAGGGCAAACCAGTGTTAGAATTTCATTCCGCAGAATGGATGCCGGACCTTGCATTTATGGTGGATGTTCCAGAGCACCTGAATAACTTGAACAAACAGCTGCAAGGGCGCAACAAAGTTGTCACGCGGTATTATGACAGCATACGTTCTTTCAAGTTGAAGCTGTCATTGTGGGAGACGCAACTTGCCGGTGGTGATGCAGCTCACTTCCCCTGTCTGAAAAATGTGTGTGCGACCCAACATGTGGCAGACATGAAGCGGTTCAAAGATAAAATAACGGGACTGTTACGGGAGTTTGAGCAACGCTTTCAGATTTATGTATATGTTTTTATGTTGATGTGCTATTGTTTTTAATTGTTTTTATTTTATTTGTATATTTAACCTATTCTTGACTCTGTGGTTCTTGCACTTGTTTGGGGAACAGGATTTCATTATTTTTATCTACATTTCTGCCTGAGAAATGACACCCTGATATAGTTCTGTGATCTGTGATATACTTCTGTGAATCACTGAGGCATTGTGTGTTTGTGTGTTCTTTGTCCTCAGAACTTTCAAATAACTTGAGGTGTTTTATGATTAATAGTGATGTTGTGCTTTTGGACACTGTCCTCAGGCTCCAGCTTTATGTTTATATGTTTTTATGTTGATGTGCTATTGATTTTATTTTATTTGTATATTTAACCTATTCTTGACTCTGTGGTTCTTGCACTTGTTTTGGGAACAGGATTTCATTATTTTTATCTACATTTCTGCCTGAGAAATGACACCCTGATATAGTTCTGTGATCTGTGAAACAGTTCTGTTAATCACTGAGGCATTGTGTGTTTGTGTGTTCTTTTTCTTTAGAATTTTCAAATAAACGTGACGTGTTTTATGATTAATAGTGATGTTGTGCTTGTACTATTTTGGACACACTGTCCTCAGGCTCCAGCTTTATGTTGTATGTTGATCGTATTAAAACAAAGAAAACAATCTGAAGTTGTTGTTTTTAAGTTATATATACCATGATTTTTTCCGGTCCGGCTCACTTGGGAATAGATTTTCCTCCATGTGGCCCCTGAGCTAAAACGAGTTTGACACCCCTGCTTTACACAGATCAGTCGTCCTGGTCCCTTTGCAGAAAAACAGCCCCAAAGCATGATGTTTCCACCCCCATGCTTCACAGTAGGTATGGTGTTCTTTGGATGCAACTCAGCATTCTTTGTCCTCCAAACACGACGAGTTGAGTTTTTACCAAAAAGTTCTATTTTGGTTTCATCTGACCATATGACATTCTCCCAATCCTCTTCTGGATCATCCAAATGCACTCTAGCAAACTTCAGACGGGCCTGGACATGTACTGGCTTAAGCAGGGGGACACGTCTGGCACTGCAGGATCTGAGTCCCTGGCGGCGTAATGTGTTACTGATGGTAGGCTTTGTTACTTTGGTCCCAGCTCTCTGCAGGTCATTCACTAGGTCCCCCCGTGTGGTACTGGGATTTTTGCTCATCGTTCTTGTGATCATTTTGACCCCACGGGGTGAGATCTTGCGTGGAGCCCCAGATCGAGGGAGATTATCAGTGGTCTTGTATGTCTTCCATTTCCTAATAATTGCTTCCACAGTTGATTTCTTCAAACCAAGCTGCTTACCTATTGCAGATTCAGTCTTCCCAGCCTGGTGCAGGTCTTCAATTTTGTTTCTGGTGTCCTTTGACAGCTCTTTGGTCTTGGCCATAGTGGAGTTCGGAGTGTGACTGTTTGAGGTTGTGGACAGGTGTCTTTTATACTGATAAGTTCAAACAGGTGCCATTAATACAGGTAACGAGTGGAGGACAGAGGAGCCTCTTAAAGAAGAAGTTACAGGTCTGTGAGAGCCAGAAATCTTGCTTGTTTGTAGGTGACCAAATACTTATTTTCCACCATAATTTGCAAATAAATTCATTAAAAATCCTACAATGTGATTTTCTGGATTTTTTTTTCCTCAATTTGTCTGTCATAGTTGACGTGTACCTATGATGAAAATTACAGGCCTCTCTCATCTTTTTAAGTGGGAGAACTTGCACAATTGGTGGCTGACTAAATACTTTTTTGCCCCACTGTATGATTGCATTGCAGCTCTTTTTTACCCAGTCCTGGCGAAGTTGGTCCAGTAGGCAATAATGTATCTGGAGACGTCGCGGTGGCTGGGCCAGTATGCCAGGGGTGTGGTGAAGGGCTTGCCGAACACATACTGCAGGTCATCAGCATGGTCAGCCTCCATCCAGCTGGGATAAGGTTGGACTATCCCGGCCATGCGGCTGGGTACCGAAAACAGGTAGGAGTAGGTGTGTGCAGATCTGGGGTAGGGCAAGGAGGGGAGGAATGATTAGATATCAGATATGTAATGCTAGGATGGGAAACAAACTGGGTGAAAAGGGCTGTGCTACAGTAACAATGAGGTAGACTTACTGGGCATTAGAGGCGTGCAGGTAGAGCGCAACCTGGGTAGGAACTAGGAAGATGTAGTCAGTTTCGATCATAACAACGGTCTTCTTCATTGTGTTCTGGCTAGGCTTGTCTCCCCAGTCGGCCGTGTACTCTGCAAAAGCGTTGTTGGTAGCGGCCTCTCCCTTCTTAGTCAAAGAACCCAAGAGCAGTTTCACGTCTGACCTGCAGTGAGAAAGTGGAAGAGAGATGCACTATATATACAAAAGTATGTGGACACCCCTTCTATTTCAGCCACACCCGTTGCTGACAGGTGTATAAAATTGAGCACACTGCCATGCAAACATTGGCAGTAGAATGGCCTTACTGAAGAGCTCAGTGACTTTCATTGTGGTACCGTCATAGGATGCCACCTTTCCAACTAGTCAGTTCGGAAAATTTCTGCCCTGCTAGAGCTGCCCCGTTCAACTGTAAGTGCTGTTATTGTGAAGTGGAAACGTCTAGGAGCAACAACGGCTCAGTCGGGAGCTTCATGAAATGGGTATCCATGGCCAAGCAGCCGCACACAAGCCTAAGATCACCATACGCAATGCCAAGCGTCGGCTGGAGCAGTGTAAAGCTCGCCGCCATTGGACTCTGGAGCAGTGGAAATCCGTTCTCTGGAGTGAAGAATTACGCTTCACCATCTGGCAGTCCGAAGGACGAATCTGGGTTTGGTGGATGCCAGGAGAACGCTACCTGCCCCAATGCGTAAAGACAACTGTAAAGTTTGGTGGAGGAGGAATAATGGTCTGGGGCTGTTTTTCATGGTTCGGGCTAGGCCCCTTAGTTCCAGTGAAGGGAAATCTTAACGTTACTGCAGATAATGAAATTCTAGATTATTCTGTGCTTCCAACTTTGTGGCAACAGTTTGCGGAAGGCCCTTTCCTGTTTCAGCATGACAATACCCCTGTGCACAAAGCGAGTTCCATACAGAAATGGTTTGTCGGGATTGCGGTGGAAGAACTTGACTGGCCTTGACTGGAGGCTGTTATAGCAGCAAAGGGGCGACCAACTCCATATTAATGCTCATGATTTTGGAATGAGATGTTCGACAAGTAGGTGTCCACATACTTTTGGTCATGTAGTGTACCTCTATATTGTTTTATGTCCTGCGGATTCGTGAAGAAAATTGATATGTTAAACGTGAAAGTGAGCCTGTCAGGTAGCCTTCATTCATGCACAGCAACCAGCCTAGCTGATGCGATGCTGTGCAATATTCCTTATTTTTTACCACTTTTTTTCTCTGGCCTATATTGATTTAGTCATCCTTATTTTGGCCATCCTACAAGGTAAAAATGTCAATGACTTTTGAACAGATTATGGTAGAAACATGAGGTTTGGATTATTGGTTTTCTTAGAGGGGTATCTACAAAATTAACATATAATTTTACCCATTGGTCAAAATATGCGTTTGTGATTGGACACCCTAGAGATTAGGCTCAACATATAACAACCCCTTCTGAAGCTCACTGTGTTAGGGACCTGGCTGAAGACAGAACCCTCTTGGTTCTGTAAAATCTGCTGTCCCATTTAAGCTACACCATGCACATGGCCAACACTGAACAGAGTGCCCTCTTCCTCCCAGCTAACCAATCAGCCCATAGCCACTCACACAGGGACGTTTGCAATTGGGTTGTTGATTTCGGGGACGTCCTGGCTAGCGAAGAGGTGGGCATCCATGCTGTTGACCCCGGCGAGGTAGTCGATGTCAGCGGCATTGTGGAACAGGTTACCTGGGTGATCAGGCAGGAAGTCCCCGTCGATCACAGGGGAGAGGACCAGGTTGTCTACCATGGGGGCTGGAGAAGGCAGGCAGAGACAGACATACCTTTTGATGCTATCGGCAGGACATGGCCATCACCAAATTACTGTGTAAAATGGTGGGCTGAGGAGATATGTGAGTGTCAGGCTAATGCTCATCTATACAGTTATCATTACAGGCATCAATGCATGCAAATCACATCCTCCTTAGCGTCTTGCTCACAGTGTGCCACATCCCTGTATATTAATCTCAGTGAATACTCACTGGAGGGAGAACCACTCAGGGACGTGGTACCAGCCAGGGTGAGAACCTTAGCGTCAATAAGCTTCAGGCAGGCCATCATCTGATCATCCTTGGGGCAGCCCACCTTCTCAGCTACCTAAAGAGACAGAAAGGGGGATGCGACATCCCTTTAACAGCCAATATCCCTCTCTGTCAGTCCATATTCCACCTCATTGTTACAGACGTACACATACCTTCTCTGCAAAGGCACGGGGGTTCCTGTTGATAGCCCAGGGGCAGAGAGCAACACCACTCTGGGAGATTGCCCTGCGGATCAGCCCTTTGTTATGGGGAGAAAGTGTCTGTGTGGTGGTAAAGTACATTCAAACTCAAATTAGTACATTGCATTTACTACATTATCATTTGCTAACCAGTTAATACTGTGGACAGAGCATCCAAGCAGAATGGCATATCTGTACCTATCTTTGCTGACAATCAAAACAGGAGAACCCTGCTTAATGCTTACACATATCTAACTATCTAAAAAGTTAAACATGAAAAAGGTCTGAAGTACAAGTGTTTTACATCAACCTTTTTATTAGACACAGAGTTCTCAGAGGTCTCAGGAACTTGTGACAAACAGCTGACTATGTACAGGACATCATGGTCCCAAATAAAGAAGCAGAAATCTCACTGTTCTCATTATTAAATGTATCACCACCCTACCAACTAAGTTCATAGACACAACAGTTAACATAAACTAGACACTGTGACAATAAACTTATGCTTTATGACAGGAAGACACTGAATAATCATGACATTTTAATGAAGAGTATATAACATTGAGACTGAAGAAACATAATTCTACTATACTTTTTTTGTATTTTGACAAGCCTACCTTTTCCCTGAAAGCTCTGTATTAAAACTGTTACTCTCCTTTTTTAATCCCACACCTGGAGGCTGGAGCTAACAGCGCCGGCAGACTCCCCGAAGACGGTGAGGTTGTTGGGGTCTCCTCCGAAGGCGCGGATGTTCCTGTTTACCCAAGCAATGGCAGCATGCTGGTCCCACAAACCATAGTTACCTGACATGGACGACAGCTCTGTGAGCCAGCAGCAGTACTCTACCTACTAATCTTCCGTGGGCAGATTCTGCGTGTCAGGGCCGGCTCCAGGCATAAGCGACATAAGCAGTCGCTTATGGAACTCAGTCTGGGGTCTCAACTTACTGTTGAGAGTTAGAATAGTAGAATACACAAGGTGCAATTGCAAAATGTGGTTGTGCATCAGCAGTTTTTCTCTTGTTATGTCAGTCACTTACAGCCACTCAATTAGCCATGTCAGCTAAGAATGTTTTTGATTGGTAAGTTAGTCTAGCCAGCTATCTAAACTTGTAGTAATCATTACCGAATACCGATTGGGCTTGCAGGCCATGTGCCGAGGGGACTTGATCTCCAGGGTGCCCTCATTGATTTTGTTTGTCACTCTCACTCAGATATCATTAACATGGCGTAAGTTTTGGCTAAATGTGTAGAATTGCAGGAAATGTGCATTAAAACTGCAAAAATGTCTCTCCACACCATTGCTAAATGGGTAGAGTTTCCATTTGCGAGGGCGAAGACTTCGTATTTGATGGAACTCTCAATTTCTAACACATACAGTATAAACACAAAGTTAATGTAATCACGACGCTGACCGAATTACTCAAGATTTTACTTCCGGGTTAAGAGAGATTATCTACCTACTAACATCTGGCTCCAACAAAATGGCTAATGTTTCTGAAAGAGCCAGTTGATTACTAAAAGTTACATAAACACAGTATTCTTAAACAGTATTATCATATAGTGGATTTAGTCACTGATGTGACACCGATTGTGCCATGGCCACCCTCCCACCCACCCACCCACCTAGCCAGCCAGCCGGCCAGGCAAAGCCTTGATTGACACCTACCAGGTCCGCTGGCATCTCCAGAGCTGAGGAAGCCCAGGGTGCCCACACGGTAACCCAGGGTCACCACAATTACGTTGCCTCTGTTAGCGATCTCCTCCCCGTCATACAGATAGTTATCCAGAAAGTTAGCGCCCATAGAGCCTCCAACCTGGAAACCACCTCCATAGATCCACACCATTACTGGCAGATCAGTCGAGACTAGAAATAAATGGAGAGATATTTCAATAAATTTGTAGAATTACACGATATAGTCATATTATTATTAGTATTACTACACATCAGCAGTTCATACTGTATGGGGCTGATGCCTTATTAGCTGATGTCCTGCTCTAGTGACAGGTAAAGACACAGGCACAGGTGTAGGATCTTAATTTGAGCCAGTTTGCTACAGTAGGAAAATAATTCTGCAGCAACAGAAAATGTGAATTATTATGTGGATTATAGTCAATGGACATTTTCGTGTGGGTTTATACAATTTTCGTAAGGGGAAAATCAAGTCTGAAATTTCAAAGTGGAAATTACAAACTTCAGAAGCTTTTTTAATCCTCAAATGCACTACAAGTTTTAGTTCTACTGCAACTGGGTGATCAAATTAAGATCCTACATCTGTACATAATACATACCGCTGCTGCCCTGAGGGACCCATATGTTCAGGTAGAGGCAGTCCTCTTGGCCACGGGTGTCAGACTGGAGCAGGTTCAGCTGCATACACCTCGGTTTGAACTTAGTGGCCTTGAGAACACCTGGAAGGAGACACAGGGAGAAGCAGTCAGTCAACTGAGATGAGTGTTAGTAAAAGTAAGGTCTGATATGGTCCAATACATGGCTGTTCAATATTTATTTTACAATCTGCTTCAGTATTACTACATTGTTATGTACAATTAACATGATATTCCTTGTTGATTGGATAGACATCTAAGGCATTTCGTTTTCTGGTACCCACCATCCCATCCAGGGTGACGCTTGGGCTTCTCAAACTTGCCGGGCTTGTCAGCGAAGGGGATTCCTTTAAAGACGTCCATGGTGCGGAAGAGTCCATCAGAATTGATGTTCTTCCCCTGCACCATGCCTCCCTCAGTGTACACCACTCCAAGCTACACATCCACACCCAAAGGGCAGATATCAACTCATTAAACATGAAGTAATATGTGCATGTGTAAAGTGTGAAACTGTTTTTGTAAAAGGCACAAATCTATTCAGTGTTGCTGTTTTATGGATGTAGTGTAGTGTCATTGTTTTTCGTTGTTTATTAGTACGAACTGTTGCAAAAAAGGTGTTCAGCTGTTGAATTCACACTGCTTGTCAACCTATTGCTGATTAACATGTAGCGCAGGATACGTTCTTAAGCCTTTGTGTTTTACTGTTGTATACTTTTTCAGTATAAACAATTTTATACTTAGTAGCCTTTATTTTGTCAAACTACATTTCTATTGTATCTTTTTCACCTCAACGAGGTGATCAATACCACAGATAGTAATACAAAACATTATAGCTACATTAAAACAGCTACATTAACAAATATCATATTTGGAAATTTGTTTTACTAAAAAAAGCTAATTATTTCTTTAATTACAGTAAAGTTTAAATTATTATTATTGGACTTACAGTGGCAGCAGAGGCGGACCCCAGGAACAGGGCAGAAGAAACCAAAATCCCCAGCATCTTAATAATGCTCATCCAGAGACACCGTTAGCACACCTTTTATACAGGAGGAGACCCCTCCCTCCCATAGTATACCATCACGGAGCCTGTTCTGTTCCAGACAGAGTTTCTCAATGTCCATAAAGGTGCCCACAGATTAAGTTTTTACTGCTCCTAGCAGAACTCGGCGAGGCGAAAGTGAATGTCTGTGCTCGCTAGTGCTGAGCGATTAGCGCTTTTCGAGTTTGGTTTTGGTTTGATTATGAAAAAATTATCACGGTTTTCGATTTCAATTATATATTTTTTTTAATTAAATGTGCTATACATTATGTGAGTTCAATGCTGTAACCCAGATTAAAACAATAAATAAAAGTCCCATGATGGTAGTGACTGCTTTTCACTTATTAACCATTATTTATTCACATTACTTTAATTTAATAAAATATTTCAGTAGTGTATATTCCATTTGTTTTATTTGATGACTATTATTTCATTCCAAATCATCATCTCATCTCTACAGAGCTGCTGCCCAGTGTTTCCACTGCAGCCATTTATGTGGTGCTGCGCCATGGCCCAAAGAATATGGAACATGAAAAAGGTGCAGACTGAGATTAAAGTGCAGACTGTCAGGTTTCATTTGAGGGTATTTTCATGCATAGCGGGTGAACCATTTAGAAATTACAGCAAGTTTTGTACAAAGTCCCCCCATTTTAGGGGACCAAAAGTTTTGGGACAAATTCCCTTACAGTGCATTCGGAAAGTATTCAGACCCCTTTACTTTTTCCTCATTTTGCTACATTACAGCCTTATTCTAAAATTGATTAAATGTGGGGGGGGTTTCTCACCAATCTACACACAATACCCTGACTAGTCTCCCAGTCCATGCCACAGAAAAAAATCCCCACAGCATGATGCTGCCACCACCATAGCCGTAGATATGGTGCCAGGTTTCCTCCAGACGTGACACTTGGCATTCAGGCCAAAGAGTTCAATATTGGTTTCATCCGACCAGAGAATCTTGTTTCTAATGGTCTGAGAGTCTTTAGGTGCCTTTTGGCAAACTCCAAGCAGGCTGTTATGTGCCTTTTACTGAGGAGTGGCTTCTGTCTGGCCACTCTACCATAAAGGCCTGATCGGTGGAATGCTGCAGACATGGTTGTCCTTCTGGAAGGTTCTCCCATCTCCACAGAGGAACTCTGGAGCTCTGTCAGAGTGACCATCGGGTTCTTGGTCACCTCCCTGACCAAGGCCCTTCTCCCCTGATTGCTCAGTTTGGCCGGACAGCCACCTCTAGGAAGAGTCTTGGTGGTTCCAAACTTCTTCCATTTAAGAATGATGGAGGCCGCTGTGTTTTTGGGGACCTTCAATGCTGCAGAAATTTCTTGGTATCCTTCACCAGATCTGTGCCTCGACACAATCCTGTTTCGGAGCTCTACGGACAATTCCTTCGACATCATGGCTTGGTTTTTGCCCTGACATGCACTGTCAACTGTGGGACCTTAAATAGACAGGTGTGTACCTTTCCAAATCATGTCCAATCAATTTAATTTACCACAGGTGGACTCCAATCAAGTTGAGAAACATCTCATGGATGGATCAATGGAAACAGGACGCACCTGAGCTCAATTTCGAGTCTCATTGTCAGCGTCTGGGTGCAGTGGGGAAACGGAATCAGGCGCAGGACACAGAACTGAGAATAAATGGCTTTACTCGACTCCAAATAAATATAGCAAACCCTCCACGCAGGGAAGAGCAAAAACAACAGCTCAACAGACAACGTAACAAAGAACAATAACGCACACACCCAGAAGGGAAAACAGAGGTAATATAGGGAAACTAATAAGCCTAATGAGTAACAGGTGTGAACAATACAGACAGAACTAGTGAGACACAGAAACATCGATCGGTGGCAGCTAGTACTCCGGTGACGACGACCGCCGAAGCCTGCCCGAACGAGGAGGAGGGGCAGCCTCGGCCGTATCCGTGACACTCATAGCAAAAGGTCTGAATACTTACGTAAATAAGGTATTTCATTTTGGTGACACTTTTATTATAAATAAGAATATAATATATTTCTAAACACTTCTACATTAGTGGGGATGCTACCATGATTATGGATAGTCCTAAATTAATCGTGAATAACGATGAGAGAGTAAGTTGCAGACGCACAAATATCAAAGTGCTGGAGTACAGAGCCAAAACAACAAAAAAGGTGTCACTGTCCCAATACTTTTGGAGCTCATTGTATTTACCTAGTCGGCTTGATGTTGTGTGTTCTATGCAAGATAAATATTCCTCTCGAGGCACATTCATGAGTGTCATAGGGTGGGAAACATGCATTCTGACAAGTGGTCAATGCACAATAATTCTTGAAATCGTGGGGGATTAAACTGCAGTTTTAATGGCATTTGTTAAAAGGAGGGGGATCCCAGCTTTCCATTCATACTTTCTCAACTCCTAAGTATGCACAGGGGCTAAATGTAACAGGGGTCAATTGTAGAGTAACTTGGGGTAAAACATCACCCTACCCAAGTTACAATAACAGGTAGGCCTACATTATATTCACTGTGTTTATGCACGTTATTTGGGACCTTTTCCCCGCACTGCAAAAATTTTTTGCTGCTTATGCTGTCTGACAAGATCACTATTTTAGTATTTCTTCAAAGTAAAGAAGGCATACTTTTATGACGGCTGAATAACAACTATCAATCACTTAGATCATGTATTTTCAGGTAGAGATATAATGAAGCAACTGCTGTTTGCCCCCACACAGACCTGACAAGTAATTACGTTGTCTGACAAGCAATTACGTGTCTGCCCCCACACAGACCTGACAAGTAAGCGCACAATTAATTATGGTCATTGTAGTTAATTACCACGTTGTTTGCGCCAAACTATGTAGAATATTGTCCTGTTGAAAACTACAATTCCCTACTATATCGCACAGGTCGGGCTTGATCTGATTTATCTCTATAGAAACTGCACATTGAGCTCACAGAAAAAAAATTAACTAAATGGAATTCAAATAATTGAACCAATGACTGTCAATTAGTTGTTTAAAAAACGGACCCCCCCCCGAAATGTCGGTTAATCGCTCAGCACTAGTGCTTCCATATTCCCTTAAAAGACCTACACTTGAAAAATGAGAAAAAAGCGGCAATATTACAGTAGCAACAACCTAGCCAGTAACACTTCTTCAAAATAGTCAGAATTAATCTAAGATTAATGAAGACATCTGTAATAAATGTTGAAGTTTTGCCAAGGAAGTTTTAGTCACACAATTTTACATTTAAATAAGATGTTCGGTGCAGTATTTCTGAAGTGAAAATATGTGCATGAAAACGAGTAGTTTCTCATTGAATTACAACAAACACTTCATTGACGAATCCTGTCCATAGTTCCCGCTCTTACTAGGAGTAGTACTGTTGATCAATCACCAACAAAGGGGCATAGACTTCAGCTACCAAACTTCGACTTGCCTCAAGAAATTTTTTTGTGTGCACGAACAGCCGAAAACTAACCTGCCGAAGATCAAAACTAACAAAACAGTCACTAAATTTCGCCATAATACAGTGAGGGGAAAAAGTATTTGATCCCCTGCAGATTTTGTATGTTTGCCCACTGACAAAGACATGATCAGTCTATAATTTTAATGGTAGGTTTATTAGAATAGTGAGAGACAGAATAACAACAAAAAAATCCAGAAAAACGCATGTCAAAAATGTTATAAATTGATTTGCATTTTAATGAGGGAAATAAGTATTTGTCCCCTCTGCAAAACATGACTTAGTACTTGGTGGCAAAACACTTGTTGGCAATCACAGAGGTCAGACGCTTCTTGTAGTTGGCCACCAGGTTTGCACACATCTCAGGAGGGATTTTGTCCCACTCCTCTTTGCAGATCTTCTCCAAGTCATTAAGGTTTCGAGGCTGACGTTTGGCAACTCGAACCTTTAGCTCCCTCCACAGATTTTCTATGGGATTAAGGTCTGGAGACTGACTAGGCCACTCCAGGACCTTAATGTGCCTCTTCTTGAGCCACTCCTTTATTGCCTTGGCCGTGTGTTTTGGGTCATTGTCATGCTGGAATACACATCCACGACCCATTTTCAATGCCCTGGCTGAGGGAAGGAGGTTCTCACCCAAGATTTGACGGTACATGGCCCTGTCCATCGTCCCTTTGATGCGGTGAAGTTGTCCTGTCCCCTTAGCAGAAAAACATCCCCAAAGCATAATGTTTCCACCTCCATGTTTGACAGTGGGGATGGTGTTCTTGGGGTCATAGGCAGCATTCCTCCTCCTCCAAACACGGCGAGTTGAGTTGATGCCAAAGGGCATGTATATGTGCTTTCTTGAGTAGGGGGACCTTGCGGACGCTGCAGGATTTCAGTCCTTCACGGCGTAGTGTGTTACCAATTGTTTTCTTGGTGACTATGGTCCCAGCTGCCTTGAGATCCTTGACAAGATCCTCCCGTGTAGTTCTGGGCTGATTCCTCACCCTTCTCATGATCATTGCAGCTCCACGAGGTGAGATCTTGCATGGAGCCCCAGGCCGAGGGAGATTGACAGTTATTTTGTGTTTCTTCCATTTGCGAATAATCGCACCAACTGTTGTCACCTTCTCACCAAGCTGCTTGGCGATGGTCTTGTAGCCCATTCCAGGCTTGTGTAGGTCTACAATCTTGTCCCTGACATCATTGGAGAGCTCTTTGGTCTTGGCCATGGTGGAGAGTTTGGAATCTGATTGATTGATTTCTTCTGTGGACAGGTGTCTTTTATACAGGTAACAAGCTGACATTAGGAGCACTCCCTTTAAGAGTGTGCTCCTAATCTCAGATTGTTACCTGTATAAAAGACACCTGGGAGCCAGAAATCTTTCTGATTGAAAGGGGGTCAAATACTTATTTCCCTCATTAAAATGCAAATCAATTTATAACATTTTTGACATGCGCTTTTTTGGATTTTTGTTTTGTTATTCTGTCTCTCACTGTTCAAATAAACCTACCATTAAAATTATAGACTGATCATTTCTTTGTCAGTGGGCAAACGTACAAAATCAGCAGGGGATCAAATACTTTTTTTCCCTCACTGTATATGTGCCAACTGTTTTGACTGGGAGGCATATGATATTTTCCCCTCTACCCAGACAGTTGGTAACAGAGAAAAATAAACATGGGAGGGACGTTGTCATTGTAGCTTCCATGTTGGGCCCTGGTATATGATATGTTTATTTTCAACTGATTCAAGATGACCATTTCTACTAGTGTCTATAACCCTCAAGTTCAAATCTGGACCTTGAAGTCATTTTTTCATTAACCAGGGCCAGATGTAGACCTGGGATACCAGGTGGGGGCAATAATTATAAAGTAGAACTATAAGTGGTCTATAAGATGTTCGATCAGAGCCCATCACATTACTAAATATTTTGCATCTCATTTAACTCAATCCATGCAATTGATAGATTAGTTAGGTGTCAGAGAATATGCAGACAGGCAGCAAAACAAATGGCATCCTGGTGGATGGTATACAGGTATGTGACCTTGGGTGTGGGCAGTAGCATGCATGGTGACAGAGTTAGATAGTAGACATAGACTATTTTTGGAGGTGTGTTGAAAGTGTTTCCTGTCACTTTTTCCATTGGTTATGGTTATGTACACAGCCAGATAAACTCACCAACTGATAGCTATATAAAAGCTGACAGTATTCCAACCAACCACATAAAATATGCACCCAAGTAGAACTTTAATATTATCAGAAACAAGTTAGATCGTTTTCCCAGACTTTCATTTCCTTAAAACCGGTCAAACTGATGTAATTTGTACATTTAGAACTGAAAATCTTTCCTCTGTTTTAGAGTTATTGCATTTTCTCCCCAATCACTTAACGTCCTCGCTCCGTGAGAGAAGCTGAAATGAAAAAGAATCCTATCGAAGGCTTTATTTAGACGTCTAGGGCAGGGTTTCTAGGGCGGGGGGGGACTGAGTTTGGGAAACCCTGGTCTAGGGCAACAAGAAATTATAGAAGAGAAGTTGCATCTATTTAAATATAGACAACTTGAGTAACAAAATTGCCTATCAAATGTCGGAAAAACTATGAAAAAAATATCTAAATTAGGCATTAAAACTATTTTTCCCAGCACCACATCTGAACATTAATAAACAGCAACTTGACATGTGGGAAGGACTGTAGTCATCACTTGTTGTGTACTGTAACAGTTTTATCCCCGACCAGGGGGTTCTCATTCAACTCTTATAATAGAACTGCACTTCAAGACACACTGAACACCACCTATTCACCATGAAGTCAAACTCTGTGGTTTGAATCCAGGCCAGGTCGATCATAGGTGAGTGCTGCGCCAGTGTTAGAGAGAGGTCTCACCTGGCCTCTTGGCACGGATAACCTGCTTGATCATGGAGGACATGATATCTCGGAGGTCATCAGAGGTGTGGGACAAACACCAGCCGTCCCTCTCGTCACACTCCTTCTCCTGGCCGTCGTTCCGACTGATCACGTTCCTTATGCTGAGCCAGGAGCAGGGTCATAACATTAGACACAAACAGATAACAACATGCAGAGATCTTTGCACTGCAATTCCAAACGAGATTGGCCCAAAGATACAGTGTCTTCAGAAAGTATTCACACCCCTTAACATTTTCCACATTTTGTTGTGTTACAGCCTGAATTTAAAATGGATTAAATAGAGATTTGTTTTTTTCACTGGCCTACACACAATCCCCCATAATGTCAAAGTGGAATTATGTTTTTCAATTTGTTTTCTAATTCATTAAAAAACGAAAAGCTGAAATGTCTTGAGTCAATAAGTATTCAACCCCTTTGTTATGGCAAGCCTAAAGAAGTTCAAGAGTAAAAATGTGCTTAGCTAGTCACATAATAAGTTGCATGGACTCACTCTCTGTGCAATAATAGTGTTTAACATGATTTTATTTATGACTGCCTCATCTCTGTGACCCACACATACCAGATACAATGCTATTTTACAGTAAACAAATTGACAACAGTCTTTCAGCACACTTATAGGGAAGGACATTCAACAAGCTCAGCACTTACACAAATGACTGATGATTGGCTGAGAGAAATTGATGATAAAAAGCGATTTTGTTAGACTTCAGTGCGGCTTTTGACATTATCGAGCATAGTCTGTTGCTGGAAAAACGTATGTATTATGGCTTTACACACCCTGCTATATTGTGAATAAAGAGCTACCTGTCTGCAAACTTGATGATTGAGTTGGAGGCGTGCTTGGCCATGCAGTCATGGCTGAACAGGGAGTAAAGGAGGGAGCTGAGCACCCACCCTTGTGGGGCCCCAGTGTTGAGGATCAGCGAAGTGGAAGTGTTGTTTCCTACCTTCACCACCTGGGGGCGGCCCGTCAGGAAGTCCAGGACCCAGTTGCACAGGGCGGGGTTCAGACCCAGGGCCTCAAGCTTAATGATGAGCTTGGAGGGTACTATGGTGTTGAATGCTGAGCTATAGTCAATGAAGATCATTCTTACATAGGTATTCCTCTTGTCCAGATGGGATAGAGCAGTGTGCAGTGTGATGGCTATTGCATCGTCTGTAGATCTATTGGGGCGGTAAGTAAATTGAAGTGGGTCTAGGGTGACAGGTAAGGTAGAGGTGATATGATCCTTGACTAGTCTCTCAAAGCACTTCACGGGGCGATAGTCATTTAGTTCAGTTACCATTGCTTTCTTGGGTACAGGAACAATGGTGGCCATCTTGAAGCATGTGGGGACAGCAGACTGGGATAGGGAGAGATTGAATATGTCCGTAAACACACCAGCCAGCTGGTGTGTGCATGCTCTGAGGACGCGGCTAGGGATGCCGTCTGGGCCGGCAGCCTTGCGGGGGTTAACATGCTTAAATGTCTTACTCACTTCGGCCACAGAGAAGGAGAGCCCACAGTCCTTGGTAGTGGGCCGGGTCGGTGGCACTGTGTTATCCTGTGTACACCTGTCAGCTACACCCATTGCTGACAGGTGTATAAAATCGAGCACACACCCATGCAATCTCCATAGACAAACATTGACATTAGAATGGCCTTATTTAAGAGCTCAGTGACTTTCAACATTGCACCATCATAGGATGCCACCTTTCCAACTAGTCAGTTAATCGAATGTCTGCCCTGGTAGAGCTGACCCAGTCAACTATAAATGCTGTTATTGTGAAGTGGAAATGTCTAGGAGCAACAATGGCTTAGCCGCCAAGTGGTAGGCCACACAAGCTCACAGAACGGGACCGCCAAGATCGTCTGTCCTAGGTTGCAACACTCACTACCGAGTTCCAAACTGTCTCTGGAAGCAACGTCAGCACAAGAACTGTTCGTCGGGAGCTTCATGAAATGGGTTTCCATGGCCAAGAAGCCGCACACAAGCCTACGATCACCATGCGCAAAGCCAGGAGAACGCTACCTGCCCAAATGCATATTGCCAACTGTAAGGTTTGGTGGAAGATGAATAATGGTCTGGGACTGTTTTTCATGGTTCGGGCTAGGCCCCTTAGTTCCAGTGAAGGGAAATCTAAACGTTACAGCAGATAATGACATTCTAGATGATTCTGTGTTTCCAACTTTGTGGCAACAGTTTGGGGAAGGCCCTTCCTGTTTCAGCATAACAATGCGAGGTCCATACAGACATGGTTTGTCGAGATCGGTGTGGACGAACTTGACTGGCCTGCACAGAGCCCTGACCTCAACCCCATCGAACATCTTTGGGATGAATTGGAACGCCGACTGCGAGCCAGGCCCAATCGCCCAACATCAGTGCCCGACCTCACTAATGCTCTTGTGGCTGAATGGAAGCAAGTCCCCGCAGCAAAGGGGAGACCAACTCCATATTAATGCCCATGATTTTGGAATGAGATGTTCGATGAGCAGGTGTCCACATACCTTTGGTCATGTAATGTATATCGATCAAATAGATGTTCATGTTTGCGTCTTCTTTCTCTCTCTCACCAACATCCATTTCTACTTCTCTCAAGAGGTTAATTTAAATTCAAGTGAATTGAATAAGACATGGCATGTAAATGGTGAGATGCCCTATTTCCCTTCATTGACACCCGGCTGGTTTAGGACTCCTCCCCATATAGATTAGTTAGGTCTCAGAGAATATGCAGACTGCCAAACAATTGGCATCCTGGTGAATGGTATACAGGTATGTGACCTTGAGCTTGGGCTGTAGTTTCCATGGTGACAGTTAGAAAGCAGACATACGCTATTTTTGGAGGTGTTTCCTGTTGCTTTTTCCATTGGCTGGTCTAGGTCTCCTCACCATATAGTAGGCCACGATAGGGAGCAGCAGCTTCAGTTTATCAGGGTGGATGTCCAGGTTGGCCTTGACCGCGAACTGGGACCAGATGGGCCGGCTCTCAAACATCTACACACAGTGTGGTTTGGGAAAAGATAACACAGATGGGATATCAAAGCAATGTACGTAACATTTCCCATGTGTACATTTTCCATATCACAAGTCTCAACAACAGCTTCTCTTTTACTTCTTTGTATTTCTCCCAAAGCACCTTTAGGAGAGAGAAATCAGACTACATGATTCAAAACAGAAAGAATCCAATACATTTCAGGAGATCAGAAAAATACCTAATTGAGCAACACATTTTTCCTATGGGCAAACAAATACCGTAGGAACATCCACTGTACATGGTGATATAAAACATATAGGGTAGGTGGGCAGGTAATGTCAGTGATGTAGTGGTAAAATAATTAGGTGGGTAAACTTTGATTGTCGGTAACGCTCCCTATATTTTCAATGCATTTTTCCGCAAAAGGTTTGTAAACTGCTAGGCACTGGGTAACGTCATCAAGGACTGAGAGTGTCCATTGTAATTCTCTCTAAATTAGAGGGATCAAATACAAACTAGCCTATAGGCTAACACTCAAGTAAATGTTTCGGTCTTGAAATAGCATTAGGATAAAAAAACAAAGGCTCAAACTGAAAAAAAAGCTATGTTCCTATGCATATGTGATTAACAATAGTAAAAATAGTTTAAAAACGTGAAAACATCACCCCGCTTTGTGTGAATTCCTGCAGTCTTCACAATGGCTTGTGAATAAAATAACAGAGTAACAACCTCAGAAGCCCAATGCAAAGTATACTGACCTCATTTGTTCCTCTCCCTTTATGTCACTGGGGTGAACACACACTCTCTTCCAGTTGACCTTGGCAGCCTCCAGGGGCTCCGTGGGGATGTTCTGGTCATAAAAGTTGAGGAAGATGGCGTTGTGAGACCGACGAGGTCGACTCAAACCAATTCGATTATCCCTGGAGACTGTCGGGGGACAATGGCCTTCTCTGCACAGAAGATACAAGACCACAATGGTTTAGCTAATAACCCCTATGGGTTGGCCAATGGCCAAATCTATTAGCACCTGCATCTTTATAACTGAATAAGGGGCTTCTTGTCTTGCTCCTGTTGTTGAACATACCATTGTGTAAAGTTGTTGGGAATTCTTACGCATTATTGCTGACACATTATATGTTGACTTCCATTGGAATATTTGTTTCTGAGCTGAACACACTACCTCTGATGAGGGTGAAAATGTGCTGCTCCCACTCCTGCCCCAGTGCCCCTGCTTACTTGTGTTGGATTTCAGGTCGGTAGTTATAGTCCACAGCACTGTCCAGGCGAGAGAAGATGGGTGGAGGAAGGAAGAGGGGCACCGGCTGCTCAAAGAACTAGTAGATCAATAATCCATTGTCATTACCATGATGGACCATAAGATGCTCAAAAGCCTTTTTCCCATTAATGAGCAGGCATAAGATGGGCATCTTATGGTCTGCCATGGTAAAGACAATGGATTATTCATATAGTAGTGGCACACGTCACAAAATGTTTACTGTCCATATTTACTGTTTTAAACATGAATTATGTTCCTTCAAAGTTCAGCTGGCATAACATGGGCATCTTATGGTCAACAATGGTAATGATTGATTATTGATGGACTAGTGTAAAACATTTTTTTAAATACATTTTTACTGTTTTAGCTATGAATTACGTTCCCTCAAAGTTCACTTTAATAGGGGGAAAAAAGCCTTTTCCCCTCCTTGAGCTGGCATAACATGGGCATCTTATGGTCTGCCATGGTAATGACAATGGATTATCGATTAGCTAGTGGCACACGTCACAAAATGCTTCAAATATTTTTTTCTTGAATTATGTTCCCTCAGAGTTCACTGTAATAGGAAGAAACATTGTTTTTCCCCATTTTAGAGCTGGTACAATATGGTCATATTATGGTCTGCCATGGCAATGACAATGGATTTGTGATCTACCTCTCCCACACATCTCACAAATGTCTACCAGACATTTGGACAGTGACATTTCTTAGATAAGGCTCATTAAAGTTCACTTTAATAGTAATAACTAGATAAAAATAAAGAATGTGGAGATAGTAAAATGTCGTTATTTTTTTCTTCTTATTGGTGTCCTTTAGTAGGGGTTTCTTTGCAGCAATTCGACCATGAAGGCCTGATTCACACAGTCTCCTCTGAACAGTTGATGTTGAGATGTGTCTGTTACTTGAACTCTGTGAATCATTTCTTTGGGCTGTAATTTCTGAGGTGCAGTTAACTCTAATGAACTTATCCTCTACAGCAGAGGTAACTCTGGGTCTTCCTTTCCTGTGGCGGTCCTCATGAGAGCCAGTTTCATCATAGCGTTTTTGTGACTGCACTTGAAGAAACTTTCAAAGTTCTTGGCATTTTCTGGATTGACTGACCTTCATGTCTTAAAGTAATGATGGACTGTTGTTTCTCTTTGTTTATTTGAGCTGTTCTTGCCATAATATGGACTTGGTATTTCACCAAATAGGGCTATCTTCTGTATAACACCCCTACCTTGACACAACACAACTGACTGGCTCAAACACATTAAGAAGGAAAAACATTTCACAAATGAACTTTTAACAAACCACACCTGTTAATTGAAATGCATTCCAGGTGACTACCTCATGAAGCTGGTTGAGAGAAAGCCAAGAGTGTTATCAAGGCAAAGGGTGGCTACTTTGAAGAATCTCAAATATAAAATACATTGAAGTCGGACGTTTACATACACTTAGGTTGGAGTCATTAAAAGATGGTCATGGGCTAACTTCAGACGGGGCTGGACATGCGCTGGCTTGAGCAGGGGGACCTTGCGTGCGCTGCAGGATTTTAATCCATGATGGTGTAGTGTGTTACTAATGGTTTTCTTTGAGACTGTGGTCCCAGCTCTCTTCAGGTCATTGACCATGTCCTGCCGTGTAGTTCTGGGCTGATCACTCACCTTCCTCATGATCATTGATGCCCCACAAGGTGAGATCTTGCATGGAGCCCCAGACCGAGGGTGATTGACCGTCATCTTGAACTTCTTCCATTTTCTAATAATTGCGCCAACAGTTGTTGCCTTCTCACCAAGCTGCTTGCCTATTGTCCTGTAGCCCATCCCAGCCTTGTGCAGGTCTACAATTTTATCCCTGATGTCCTTACACAGCTCTCTGGTCTTGTCCATTGTGGAGAGGTTGGAGTCTGTTTGATTGAGTGTGTGGACAGGTGTCTTTCATACAGGTAACAAGTTCAAACAGGTGCAGTTAATACAGGTAATGAGTGGAGAACAGGAGGGCTTCTTAAAGAAAAACTAACAGGTCTGTGAGAGCCGGAATTCTTACTGGTTGGTAGGTGATCAAATACTTATGTCATAAAATAAAATGCAAAATAATTACTTAAAAATCATACAATGTGATTTTCTGGATTTTTGTTTTAGATTCCGTCTCTCACAGTTGAAGTGTACCTATAATAAAAATTACAGACCTCTACATGCTTTGTAAGTAGGAAAACATGCAAAATCGGCAGTGTATCAAATACTTGTTCTCCCCACTGTACATTAAGTTGACTGTGCCTTTAAACAGCTTGGGAAATTCCAGAAAATGATGTCATGGCTTTAGAAGCTTCTGATAGGCTAATTGGCATCATTTGAGTGAATTGGAGGTGTACCTGTGGATGTATTTCAAGGCCTACCTTCAAACCCAGTGCCTTTTTGCTTGACATCATGGTAAAATCAAAAGAAATCAGCCAAGACCTCAGAATAATAATTGTAGACCTCCACAAGTCTGGTTCATCCTTGGGAGAAATTTCCAAACGCCTGAAGGTACCACGTTAATCTGTACAAACAATAGTACGCAAGTATAAACACCATGGGCCCATGCAGCCGTCATACCGCTCAGGAAGGAGACGTGTTCTGTCTCCTAGAGATTAAAGTACTTTGGTGCGAAAAGTGCAAATCAATCCCAGAACAACAGCAAAGGGACTTGTGAAGATGCTGGAGGAAACAGGTACAAAAGTATCTATATCCACAGTAAAACGAGTCCTATTTCGACATAACCTGAAAGGCCGCTCAGCGAGGAAGAAGCCACTGCTCCAAAACCGCCATAAAAAAGCCAGACTACAGTTTGCAACTGCACATGGGAACAAAGATCGTACTTTTTGAACTGTTTGGCCATAATGACCATCGTTATGTTTGGAGGAAATAGGGGGAACTTGCAAGCCGAAGAACACCATCCCAACCGGGAAGAACGGGGGTGGCAGCATCATGCTGTGGGGGTGCTTTGCTGCAGGAGGGACTGGTGCACTTCACAAAATAGATGGCATCATGGGGAAGGAAAATGATATGGATATATTGAAGTAACATCTCAAGACATCAGTCAGGAAGTTAAAGCTTGGTCGCAAATGGGTCTTCCAAATGGACAATATCCCAAGCACACTTCTAAAGTTGTGGCAAAATGGCTTAAGGACAACAAAGTCAAGGTATTGGAGTGGCCATCACAAAGCACTGACCTCAATCCTACAGAAAATGTGTGGGCAGAACTGAAAAAGCGTGTGCGAGCAAGGACGCCTACAAACCTGACTCAGTTACACCAGCTCTGTCAGGAGGAATGGGCCAAAATTCACCCAACTTATTGGGGGAAGCTTGTGGAAGGCTACCCAAAACATTTGACACAAGTTAAACAATTTAAAGGCAATGCTACCAAATACTAATTGAGTGTATGTAAACTTCTGACCCACTGGGAATGTGATGAAAGATATAAAAGCTGAAATAAATCATTCTCTCTACTATTATTCTGACATTTCACATTCTTAAAATAAAGTGGTGATCCTAACTGACCTAAGACAGGGATTTTTTACTAGGATTAAATGTCAGGTGTATGTAAACGTCCGACTTCAACTGTATATTTTCATTTGTTTAACACTTTTTGGTTACTACATGATTCCACGTGTTATTTCATAATTTTGATGTCTTCACTATTATTCTGCAATGTAGAAAATTTCAAAAATAAAGAACCCTGGAATAAGTAGGTGTGTCCAAACTTTTGACTGGTACTGTTTTTATATATATATATATATATATATATATATATATATATATATATATAATAGCCTCCTAATATTGTACAATATGTCTTGCTTCATTGGCCCTGGCTAGTGTTTGTTTGAATTGAAGACCAGATTGATCTGTTTGTCAGGTTCAGAGTAGCCACTCATTTCAGTCATTTGTGTGGTATTTCAAAAATATCTGTCCCTGGTGGGCTCACTTGACCACAGTAAAAAAATGCTACTGATTTAATAGTTTCTAGGCTTGTCGTCAGGTGTGGCATACAGTGAGGGAAAAAAGTATTTGATCCACTGCTGATTTTGGATGTTTGCCCACTGACAAAGACATGATCAGTCTATAATTTTAATGGTAGGTTTATTTGAACAGTGAGAGACAGAATAACAACAAAGAAATCCAGAAAAACGCATGTCAAAAATGTTATAAATTGATTTGCATTTTAATGAGGGAAATAAGTATTTGACCCCTCTGCAAAACATGACTTAGTACTTGGTGGCAAAACCCTTGTTGGCAATCAAAGAGGTCAGACGTTTCTTGTAGTTGGGCACCAGGTTTGCACACATCTCAGGAGGGATTTTGTCCCACTCCTCTTTGCAGATCTTCTCCAAGTCATTAAGGTTTAGAGGCTGATGTTTGGCAACTCGAACCTTCAGCTCCCTCCACAGATTTTCTAGGGGATTAAGGTCTGGAGACTGGCTAGGCCACTCCAGGACCTTAATGTGCTTCTTCTTGAGCCACTCCTTTGTTGCCTTGGCTGTGTGTTTTGGGTCATTGTCATGCCGGAATACCCATCCACGACCCATTTTCAATGCCCTGGCTGAGGGAAGGAGGTTCTCACCCAAGATTTGATGGTACATGGCCCCGTCCATCGTCCCTTTGATGCGGTGAAGTTGTCCTGTCCCTTTAGCAGAAAAACACCCCCAAAGCATAATGTTTCCACCTCTATGTTTGACGGTGGGGATTGTGTTATTGGGGTCATAGGCAGCATTCCTCCTCCTCCAAACACGGCAAGTTGAGTTGATGCCAAAGAGCTTGGTTTTGGTCTCATCTGACCACAACACTTTCACCCAGTTCTCCTCTGAATCATTCAGGTGTTCATTGGCAAACTTCAGACGGGCCTGTATATGTGCTTTCTTGAGTAGGGGGACCTTGCGGGCACTGCAGGATTTCAGTCCTTCACGGCGTAGTGTGTTACCAATTGTTTTCTTGGTGACTATGGTCCCAGCTGCCTTGAGATCATTGACAAGATCCTCCTGTGTAGTTCTGGGCTGATTCCTCACCGTTCTCATGATCATTGCAACTCCACGAGGTGAGATCTTGCATGGAGCCCCAGGCCGAGGGAGATTGACAGTTATTTTGTGTTTCTTCCATTTGCGAATAATCGCACCAACTGTTGTCACCTTCTCACCAAGCTGCTTGGCGATGGTCTTGTAGCCCATTCCAGCCTTGTGTAGGTCTACAATCTTGTCCCTGACGTCCTT